GAAAAACCTTTGTGTTTAATAGCTGACTACTTAGAAACTCAGACTTAAGCATGATTAACTAAGACTCAGACATGATCAAGGTAGCACAGGTGAACCTCACCCCAGCTACAGTAACTGTGCACAAGTGGACTCTACATCCATGGTGAGAGCAAGGCTGTATGACTTCACTTAGAATACTGTTTTCATTGGAGGAAAGAATGGGTAATCAGTAAAGAAATCTGTTAAAAGGCTCTGACCAGGAGCCATGGTTTTCAGGGCTTTAGTTAAGCAAAGCAGGTAGTGTATTGACGAGGAAGCCTCTGAGATGTTCAGCATGAATCCAACAGTGAGCTTCTTAGTTACAATACTGTATTAATTTACTGTATTTTTTCCAAAAGTAATTTTATGAATCCCCAGTTAGAAGCCTGATGGTAATTTTCCAGCCTCAGAGCATGAAACAAGTTCTCAAAGATGCAAGGGATTCATTAAAAGGAAGCCAGGAAAATGATTATATCTGCATGCACAGAAATACTGACTTTGTGATTGCAAGGATCTCTTTATAAACAATGTCTACATAGATACAGCTAAAGACGATGGGGAAAAAAAATGCTTGGCACTTCACAAACAGCCAGTTTCAGGGCTGGGGGTCAGAGAGAGGAACCTGTAAAGATGGGGCTATCTGCAATGCTAACCAACTTCATGTAATGTTTGCTTTTCATTAAGCAAAGCCAAACAAGACGAAAAGGGCAAACTTGCATGTTATCTCTCTAGAGTCCATAACTCCGTGCTTGAGATCTCTGGAGGGAGGGTTCATGTTAACCTCAGTTGTGTCGTATTTAGCTTGACAATTGGAAGACTCACTTGGCTCTCTTCCTAAATACCACACCTTTTATATTTATGACTCTCCCCATTTTAATACTGTTGTTTTGCTACATGGATATTTCTTGTCATACTTGTGATTTCTTCTAAATATACATGGCTCATCCTCCTGTCTGCTGCTGAACTTCTAATCTGCAGACTCTCAATGGGTGCTGATTGTGTCCTGTCATTCAGATGTTGCATGCAGGGGGCATTACTCTGTGATTTCCAGAGGGTGAATGAAAACAAGAGGCTTGGTTCAATGCTGTGAGGTATCAACCTGTGAGGGAAAGCTCTAGGGCACTGCTTGTAATTCCCAGGGGAACTTTACATTCAGAAAAGCAGTGAGAAGCCCTATGCTTTATCCTGTCTGAGGACTCTACTGGTGGATTCATAAATACACATTTTGGCTCAGCTGCATGCAAAACAAATGACAAGTTGAACAAAAGGACTTCCTCAAAAACACAAGCTTCAGTTTACTTTCCCAGCTGCAAAATGCCTCAGTTGCCCACCTCATTGCCTTTTACACCCCCACCCTGCCTTGTCCCCATGGACATGACTAGGCCCTAGAAATTAAGAGTTCTGTAATGATCTCACCTCAGCAGAACTTGCACAGAAAGGCAATAGCAAGGGCTCTTTTAAAAGGCCTCTCACTACCACTGTCCTCATTGATTCTGGAATTGTTTGCTTGAGTTTCTGATGATCACACCTACAGCTGATCACATAAGCAAGTGAGACTCTAACCAAATGGCATTTGAACTTTACAGGCAAAACCCAACACTTCCAACTCAAGTGCCATACCAGCTTCAGAAGAGATAGAAATAAAAAAGGGGGACTTGAACATCTGCTAGAGACGTACTCTCTTCTAGCGATGCTTGAACCGATCTGCAGGAGGCTGGCACTGCATCTTCCACTGTTCATCAAAGCCATGATGGGGACTGGATGCCTTCCTGCTGGCTCCCAGTAGCAAAGACAGACATGGACCTCTTTGGCAGGTTGTTGCCTCTTGCACTCTAGCAATTTTGGAGGTGAGTAAGAGTGGTGCAAACTTTCAAGCAGAAGTGATGCTCTGAATTTGTCCCAGGGAAACACCTCAACCATCACAAATCATCATTCTGCCCAAGGTAGATTGCTTTTTTTGGCCTCGGAGAAACCTGCCACACATGTACACAGCATCATACCACTTTCTTCCCAAAGGGCAGATGCCTTGATGAGGCTGCCAGGCCTGTGCAAATGAGAAGTGGGGCTTTCTACTGTGGCCTTTCTAGAGTTTTTGCTCTCAGGTTCCTCCACTGCCTGTCAGTGAGTATAGCAGCAGCAGAACCCGCTTTTTATTCGTGGCATCTAAAATAGTGAGGGCTGTGTCAATGCATAGGTGTTTGTGCCAGCAACGTTCAGCAGCTTAGTTTACAGCTAGTCTTGCAAAGTCATTCACTGAGATTCTTGTCATGTTTTACTATATAAAATCCTTTGAGTAAGGGTGGGGAAGAAAAAAAAAAGTCATCTAATGTAGAAGTCCAGGCAGTGAGATCTTCCAGCCGGGACCGTTGTCAGAGTTTGTCAGTGTTCCTGCTCCAAGGACTTGGCAGTGACCTTTGTGGAAGGGTAGCTGCTCACCTGGTCACAGAGCATACATGGGCTCCTGGATGTCACCATATAACTAATGACAGAGATGTCCTTTTCAGTGTAAGCTGATGTAAAAGCTGTAACTTGTTATACTTCTTCCCTTTTAGAAGCCGCAGTACAGCTCCTGCGTGCATACTGTTTGTGTTATGCAGCCACCTAGAGGGCCTGCTGCCTGTACCGACTTTACACTGTTGACCAGAAACCACAAAACTGCAGGAAAATACAAGCTCTGCTGACCCTTAGTGGCCGTAACTCGGCTGCAGTCCTGTGGGAATGTTTTTACAAATTCAGTACTGCTGTTCTGGTGCTGTTTTGCAGGTGTTGTCATATTTCTTGCGGGGAAAAGGTACTGACTAACCTGCTGGGGGCAAATACTGGGGAAGCACTGTCAGCAGAGAAGAGGATCTGGGCATCATAGAGGAGAATATACCCGACCTTGAGATTTTACGGCAGTTCCACAGAGCAAATACAATATCTTGCATCTAGGGGCTATCAAAATTGACGCTGAAAACTGGAGGTGAGTCATTGCCTGGCAAAGAGAGAAGGAAGAAAAACTGGAGGCAAAAGGCAAAGTGATTAAAGACCACCACTTGGCTTTGATGGACAGATGTGATTCTTGGAGACACTGCGAGATGCATGTCTGGTTCAGACAGGAAAGACAACCCCTTGTACCAGTGAGACTTCACCTGGAGTATCAGACACAAGCCTGGCTTTCAAAGATCAGGAAACAGGAATTTGAATAGGCAAAGAAGGCCTCAAGGTGATCAAGGGAACTGAAATACTATTTTATAAGAGCAATTTAAAGATACAGCAAGGCAACATGCAAAAGGATATGAAACGTTTCCCCCACTAAAAAATATCACTGATGTCAACAACAGAGCAGGATAAAAGTCACATGATGCAAGATCAGATGAGCATAAATTGCCCAAACCTTTTGGGCTGGAAAGTCACTGTATTTTTAGCACTAAGAGCAGTGAGGCTCATTAGCTATGTCTGAAGTGCCAAGAGGAGGGAACCCCCTCCCCTTGCTAAAATGCAGGTTGATCCATGAGGTGGTTGTCAGCACCAGTACTTCCAGCCCCATGTTCCTGCTCTGGTGGTGCTCTTCAGACCTGCTAATTTCTCAAGGTATGTCATGATGACTGTAAGAACAGCGTCCCTGCATCAGTGTACCCTGCACTCCAGCAAGGGGAAAAAAGTCTGTGAGAGGCTGTTACGGACAGCCTTTTGGTCTGACTACAATCCTCCATTTCTACTTCACGGTTAATTTACACAACATCTCTTAGAACAACTTTTCAGAGGCCGATATGTTGAAGAAGACGTCTGTGTTTTCACTCTTCCTTGCGGCACTTGACTGTCTCCCAGTGCCGTGCCCCCAGCTTGTCCCAGCTCCTGTAAAAGACTGAAGCTGGCGCTTCTCTTCCCAGGACACCTTTATACAAGTGATACTCCCTCACGATCCCTCAGCCGTGGGGGTGCCTGCATCCGCAGTCGGGTCGTGATAAATGCCATGGAAACACAGACCAGAACGCTAACTTCTTACCCGAACGGCTCACGCGTTTGATGTAAGCCAACTGACAGGTTCTCGGCAGATCTACGCAGACCTGCACTGCGCGTTTCATGCCCGAAGACAAGGCTGGTTTTCAGCGAACGAGTTCTGCCGCAGCTCTCCAGGTACGCGCCGGCCGGGCCGCAGCCGGCGAGGAAGCGGGAGCGGGGCCTGCCCGAGCCCCCTCTCCGTGGGGAACCCGGCGGGGCCGGGCGGAGCCGCAGCCCCGGAGCGGGAGGCCCCGCGGGACCG